TACTGCATTAACGAAATAAAATTTTACTGCCGTCTCACGAACAATAAAATTTTAAATTTCCAGTAAATTACCACTTTATTACTTACAAATTACATTTATACACTTGTTTGACTTTTAAATTTTTTTATCGACTTATATGAGTTATTAGATGTTAGATAAATATCGAAAAATAATCCATTAAAATTAATTGCGATATAAATATCAATTTATAAAAATATAGATAAATTTTGAATTTGCGTAATATAAAATACTATAATCATATAGTAAATATTTATATGACAGTATTACTTCATATGTTGTTACTTGTGAGAATAAAATATATGATTGGTTATATCATTCCATTATTAATACTAGATTCCGTATTTACAGCTGCGCTTTCTCTTAATGAAAATTTACTTGTTGCTTTTATTTGCATATATGGGTGTCAATAACAGTGAAATTCGTTACGTTGAGTCATTGAAGTCCCGAATACCGATGTTACTATCGACATTTTCAAAAATAATATTATAGTGCAATTTTGACACATGATTATATTGTCAAATTTTTTATTGCTGTTCAATTACTCATCAATTTTTTTATTTGGTGCATTAATGACCGCTACATGCAAGATACTGACAATTATTATAACGTTTAATTACATAAAATATTGGGAAGACCGTGTAAGAGATGATATAAACATTTTTTTTCTTTGTTTTCGTTTCGAGACATCGTGTTGATAAAAACCGAAACACACATATGTACACACGTACATACGTAGGTATGGTAGTAAGATTGTCAGATATTATACAATCAGAGAATCAAAGTTGGTCGTCCATGAACGTGGGTAGACACAAGTTTGTAAGTAAATTTCTAAAATTTTCGGTAAGATATTAAGTCTAAAGCAAGCAATATATTATTGAAATGCTGTAATTGAAGTTCTCCAGAGTTAGTTCATATATACATACTTACATATATACAGGGTGCGGCATTTATAGTGACGCGGGCATATTTTTCGGAAACGAAGTGAGATATCAAAAAATGTTTCAGAAAAAAGTATAAAAGTATTTACAATGTATTTTTTAAAACAATTATTTGTTTTTTTCTTTACACTAATTGATTTGTCTCATTATTCTGTACATAAAAATATTACGGTAAGATTATCGAAAACTAAA